GTAATGTTGTAGAGTTTCTACATTGACTATGAATTGACTACTTAAAGGAGAACTATGAGGTGAGTGATTTCCACTCATCCTCATAGTTAGAGCCGACCTGAGACAAAGAAGCTGTCACAGGTCGGCTCTATAGATCGGGAAGTGGCTGTCGCTCGCTCACTTTCCGATCATCTCCCTGCAGAGAGCAGTGACTGTCAGTCACCGCTCCCCGCAGGGATTCTCTCCTCTCCGATCTTCCAGCGCTGAGTGGAAAAACAGACAGGGGAGGGGGCTGGAATAGCTGAGTCTGCCTCTAGATAGGCAGAGCCAGCTGTCTCTCACGCAGATCGGTGGATCCAGACAGTAAAATCACGATCAATCCCGGTTGCAGCACTCTCAGTATATTGCAGGCAATAGCTCGCTGTTGTAACACTCGCCCCTGCAAGGGTTGATTACCCCTATGGATCTCAACTGCGGATAATGTAGCTACGTATGAGGACGGGTATCAGATTGCAGCTACCCCTCGTATGCCTTATATTTGACAGAGGCGAGGAGGGAGCTGCTTCCCATCACACCCCGTATTTCAGGAAGGATGGCACAAACGGTTCTGAGTAGGTAAGTATAGGCTGGTTAATATGACAATATCAGCCTGAGCCCCTAGAGGGCAGCAATTTTCACCCACACAAGTTTATAGTCAATATGGCAACAGCAATTTAGTACACAGCTAGCTTGAAGAAGTTCACAGCAGCTAATGGCATCAGATTCAACTATGGTAACAGCAGCTAACACATAGGCAGAGTAAATTTGAGGTATCAGTTAGTTAGGAGTCCTATAGCTATATCACTCTATAGCCCAGGGTACTTGCGGTTGTGATAGCTGTCTCCAGAGGGGCTGTAGTCAGGTTGGATCAGTCCACCGATCAAGGGTCCAATGAGGCAAGTGGGAAGCTGCAATCGACAGTAGGACGCCGATCAACTAGCGAGCAGCTGCTTTATGCCGAGCGCTCGCTCGAGAGGGGGCGGAGTCCCGTGGTGCGCCTGTGCACAACGTAGACTGCCCTGGCGAGAGAGGCGGCGGAGACCCGTGGTGCGCCCACCAGGGTACGTATGTTCGGCGGAGACCCGTGGTGCGCCCACCAGGGTACGTATGTTACAGCTATATACTGAGCTTTGGATCACGGGAGGAGGTTAGTATATGTCCTCCGTTATCCTAAAGATAAATATGGTTAAAAACACTTACCCCATAGTTCTCTTTTAAGGTCACAGTGTCTGTGAAGGTTCTCATTCATCCAGGTCATGGTATATTTGTAAGAAATAAATTAAGGCAACTGGACTTGCTATATTTTTCTTGAAGACGTTTCACTGGTCATCCAACCAGCTTTCTCAATTCAGAAAGCTAGTCTGAATTGAGAAAGCTAGTTGGATGACCAGTGAAACGTCTTCAAGAAACATACAGCAAGTCCAGTTGCCTTTTTACAAATTAAGGGCACAGTATTGATTCTGTGGGGTTGATTTACTTAAGGCAAATAGGCTGTTCACTTTTCAAGGGAATTTTTACCATGCCAGGGAATTTGTACTTAGCTTAGTGAATGTGGTGAAATGTTACTTTGCAAAGGATACACAATGTGCAAGAAAAAAAAAAAGAAAACAGCTTTTTTGTTGCACATGATTAGATGATGGAAGAGCAGGAGAGCATAGCCTCATTCACTAAGATAAGGCAAATTCCCTTGCAAAATGAAAAGTCCATTTGCCTTTAGTAAATCAACCCCAGTGTGTTAAAGCCTTTCCTGAGATATAACTCATACAGCGCTAAACAGGGACATATTAACATACATGAGCTACAAATAAATTCTAATCCTCAACCTAACATTCCTTGGGATGCATTGCTTACATCCAGGGCCGTATTTAATACTGATTGGACCCTGGGCAAACAATCTCTTGGGCCCCCCCGGCCCTAACAGCAGCATACGGAAGAGGTGGGGGCAACACCAGTGGCGGACCTAAGGAACAAAGGGCCCTGGTGCAAGATTTTTGCCTGGGCGACTGCCCCTTTTGCCCTGCGTTAAAGACGGCCCTGCTTACATCTGTCTCATCAAAGCAAAAAAGGATTTGATTTTGTGAATGGATAGATAAATCTGCAATTCTCCCATGGTGTGATTAAAATGAAAATCCTTTTAAATTCTGTACAGTATATTTGTGTGTATTATTCTTGTGCACAAGTCTCTTTCCATTAGCTTATGAAAGGAAAATATCACACTATGAATTGATATTTGCATTTAGAAAAAAGTTTCTGAATGCATATACAGTATGTGCCTTGCATTTTATATTTACAGTACCGTCTTAGAATGTGAAAGAATCTTTTGGTATGCAAGAAACCTATATAAAGTTGAAATGCAAATATGTCACTATGTTTGGCTGTAGAGGAGTGGCAGGGGGTGACTGGGAGTCCAGCAGCAGTGTGTGTAATCTTGGTCTCACTGAGCCCTGTCTCTGGCCACAAGCGAGGTCTGTATATTACAGAAGAGCTTATGATGCTACATTGGCTCTATTATATGTAATGAGTCCAATTTATATTAATACAGGATTCATTTCATGCACTAATTCCGTTTTTTAATTTGTCCTTTCTAGAGTTCAGGTTTTCTAGGAGTTATAGGCTTACACATTTCAGGGGTGTACTGCTGTATGTAATTTGTAGTATATATATTAGACATGTGCGATTCGTTTCGGAAATTCGGACGAATTTTCGGAAATTCGGACGTTCGGATGTATCCGAATTCCGAATTACAGACATAACGAATGCAAACGAATCCCAATTTCCATTTCCGAAATTCGGTAGCGGTAGTTCGAACGTTTGTTTCGTTTTCTGTTCTTATTCATTTCTTATTCGTTTCGTTCGTTGGAGCAAAGTGACATTAGAGAAGGAGAGAAATATTTTTTTCCCCTCAAATGTCACTTTGCTGCAAACGAACGAAACGAATAAGAAACGAATAAGAACAGAAAACGAAACGAACGTTCGAACTACCGCTACCGAATTTCGTCCGAATCCGAATTCCGAATCCGAATTGACTTTCACACCCGAATCCCGAAAAACGAAATAACACAAATCCGAATTTAAAACGAAACGAAACTAAACGAATTTTTTGGCAGTGCATACGTCTGCCTTTACCCGCACCTTTACACAGCTTCAACTCTTCTGGGAACTTGTCCACAAGGTTTAGGAGTGTATCTATGGGAATGTTTGACCATTCTTCCAGAAGCGCATTTGTGAGGTCAGGTACTGATGTTGGACGAGAAGGCCTGGCTCACAGTCTCCACTCTAATTCATTCCAAAGGTGTTCTATCAGGTTGAGGTCAGGACTCTATGCAGGACAGTCAAGTTCCTCCAGCCCAAACCCGCTCATCCATGGCTTTATGGACGTTGCTTTGTGCACTGGAGCACAGTCATGTTGGAACAGGAAGGGGCCATCCCCAAACTGTTCCCACAAAGTTGGGAGCATGAAATTGTCCAAAATGTTCTGGCATGCTGATACCTTAAGAGTTCCCTTCACTGGAACTAAGGGGCCAAGCCCAACCCCACATCATAACCCCCCCTCCACCAAACTTTACACTTGGCACAATGCAGTCAGGCAAGTACTGTTCTCCCAGCAACCGCCAAACCCAGACACATCCATCGGATTGCCAGACAGAGAAGCGTAATTCATCACTCCAGAGAACACGTCTCCACTTCTCTAGAGTCCAGTGGCGGTGTGCTTTACCCCACTGACTCTGGCCCTTTGCATTGCACTTGGTGATGTAAGGCTTGGGTGCAGCTGCTCAGCCATGGAAATCCCGTTCCAATTAGTTCTCTACGCTCTGTTGTTGTGCCAATCTGAAGGCCACACGAAGTTTGGAGGTCTGTAGCTGTTGACAGTTGGCAACTTCTGCGCACTGTTCGCTTCAGCATGTGCTGACCCCGCTCTGTCATTTTACATGGCCTACCACTTTGTGACTGAGTTGCTGTTGTTCCCAGTTGTTCTCAGATGTGCACACCTGTGCAATCATCAGGTGCTGGTCAATGCTAAACCCTGGACCCAGGACTGGAGCTTTCTACCCTCCTGAATCACTTTGAAATCTCCCGGTTCCCACATCCCAAGCAGAATCCAGAAAATCCGGAAAGAACTGAAAAGCCAGCTCTTTCCCTGTTAAAAACCTTGCTTCCTGATACCTCTCAGCACCTCTGGCTGAGAGTCCTGGGTGATAACACCAAATTTCACAGAGAGAGAGAGAGTTCTTCCTGTGTTTTTCTATTGATTGCATGTTTCACCTTTTCAGTAGGTGCATTGGTTGAACAAATGCCCCATGCACCTCTTATGTATGCAAAGAAAGGAAAATTACACCTTTCTAATCCTGAGAGACATTGGATAAATTCCCAAATCAACATCCTGTCTGACATCTGCTTGCTATGACAAAAATTAAAGTAGACCCATTAGTAACTCTACAAGTCTACATGAAAACATTCCTTACACGTCACAATATCCAGCAAACAATCTCTTCCTTTTATCATTATAAAGCAGATTCTGTGCTCCAGGCAATGATTAGCCTAGGCTGAGATGATGTTATAGGTTCAGTAAAGTCAAGAGGAAACACTTCCTTAGTAAACAGTTGTCCACAGAGCGTGATGATGTCATAAAGAGGTGCAGCATTTAAACGGCGGACTAAGGCAAGTAAAAAAAAAACACCTACTTTTTAAAGAAAAAATTGGGGATGAATGGGAGATGGGGTAGTAAGTTTGCCTGGATATGGCCTTTAAATTTTAAATCTAGAAAAGCAATTACATTATTGCGTACATTTGACAATTAGAATCTTACCATAAACCAATTTGAAGAGTGCTTTTGTGAAAGGAGGAAGTTGAGGAGGTTTATAACAAGAGTTTTTCTTTAACATCAAGCTTAGTCACAAGAACAACAAGTAACAGATTGTATTGTATGAAAGATATTTGAATACAAATGGGAACTTGCAAAATAACAGACACTTTTTTTCCAGGGTAGCAGTTCTTCCAGATGGGAGCTTACGGATTTTAAACGCTTCTAAATCAGATGAAGGAAAATATACATGCCGAGGGGAGAACGTGTTTGGCTCGGCGGAAATCACAACAGTTGTGTCTGTTACAGGTATTGTGACTTATTACATATAAAACATACCATGCATGAAAATATACACCCCAAGCCCTCTAGTATGATCTATGTTGCCCAGTAAGTGAAGTGAGTTATATAAAATCTTAGTGCATGTTATATTCTAGTGTAAAGATCATGGTCTGCCCCCTTCTGTGCTTTTTTTGGAACTGAAAAGACAGAACGTTTTCAGATTTCCCAGTAGTCTGGTCATGCGATGTGTGATGTCAACAAACTGTCTCCTCCCCTGAGGTTTCTTGAGAATTCAACAAGGAAATCAAATCAAAACAGGATCAGTGAATCTTGAAGTTTTTACCTGAATGTGGGCCTATCTGTAGAATTACGCAATTTAGCAATTCAGGCAATTGTGATTTGGGAACATCTTGCAGCACATGTATATTTCCACATGTTTTATCATTTTAAAAAGGCTGCAGAATAACATTTTTCTGCCTGAAATCCAGTAAGCTCCTAACTTCCTGTTTCAGCTGACAGTTTCTTCCTCTGCTGCACTGAAATCCCAAGCAGTGTTGTTAGCAATTATCAATTCTCTACTGCTGGACTACAGGATACCCTCCACTCTCTTCACTTTCATAAGGGGGAGATAATATGTAGTCCAGCAGGGGAAACTCAAGCAGGGCTGATCTAATGGTTTAGGATTTTAGTGCAGCATAAGCAGTTTTGTCAGCTCACTACAGGAAGTTAGCAGCTCATTGAATTTGTGGAAGGATCAACATGTATTTGTATGTATGCATGCCTGTACTGCAGAGGTGTTCTGAATATGTTTTTTCCTGCCAAGGTGTACACTTTAAATATGTCTCCTGAATACAATTTTCTCAGGAAAGCCAAACATTATGTGCAGCCTTTGTTGGAATAAAAACAACAACAAAAGCACCTTTAGAAATGTTTAGTAAAAACAATTTATAAACAGATACTATTAGATAGATAGATCATTGCCGGTAGGGATGCACCGATACTGGTTTCGGTATCAGTGCTACGTATTTGGGCAAGTACTCATACTCGCCCAAATGCTCCGATGCCTAGCCCGATACCTGATCTTCCGGAATCCTGATTGGCCGGAAAGCTCCCTCATCACCCGGCTTCCAATCAGGAAGCCGGGCAGCATGTAATGACTCTCGACCAATCAGGAAGCTGAGCAATGAGTCATTACATGGCAGAAAAATTGTATATTCCCTGGAGCTCCGATATACTATACAAATCTCTTTATGTGCATTTCTATAATTGGTCATCTAAGGTCATGCAACCAAGGTTTGATGAACAAAAAACAGGGGAGTGTTCCAAGTGAGGATCACAGAAAGTGGTTGCTTAAACAGACCGAGACCATTGAATCTTATAAAAATATAAACTTTATTATGTTTTACAAAACATCAATTATTTGCAACAACAATTGCGCAACAATCGCAAGTACGATCTGCCTATGCAACATAGGCAGATCGTACGTTTTTTTAAGTACCTTACAACCACCGCAAGACAAAAGTCTTGCGATGGTTGTAAGGTGTGTGCCCAGCCTTAGGCATTGGGATACGTGTTCAAATAGTTTTTCCAACTTGATCTATCTTGTCCATACTCCAAATCATCGTCTGTCAAGGGGATCAGCACTGATTACTATCAGGTGCTTTACCTGGGAGCATTCCCTCGTTTAGTGTCTGCAGGGATTGAGCTTGGTCGCAGTGTGTGTGGGGCCCATAGTATGAATGAATGTTTTGAGTGTCACGAACAACGTTGTTTTTTTATTGCATCAGTAAGAAGCGGAATTGTTGTTGCAAATAATTGATGTTTTGTAAAACATAATAAAGTTTATATTTTTATAAGATTCAATGGTCTCGGTCTGTTTAAGCAACCACTTTCTGTGATCCTCACTTGGAACACTCCCCTGTTTTTTGAGTCATTACATGGCACCCGGCTTCCTGATTGGCCAGAAAGCTGGCTCCATGCTTCCTCGTCACGTGGTGACGTGGAAGCATGGAGACGACTTCCCTGCTAATCGGGAAGCTGGATGGCAAGTCTTTATACGCCACCCAGCTTCCTTGCTAATCAAGAGGCCAGGTGACGAGTCTTTACAAGCTGCCTGGCTTCCTTAGTGGGACTGCCGGAATCGGTATTCGGTATCGGTGAATAATAAAAAAAAATATCGGTACTCATACTCGATACCTAAAAAGACCGGTATCGGTGCATTCCTAATTGCCGGCTTTTTATTCTTTGCATACCTTATTTTTCTTCCCCATTCTTCTCACAGTGGCCATTTTTACTAAGGGCAGATTAATCCATCCCCCTTTACTTCCTGGAACTCTGGCACATGTGACTAGGACATCATGTTCATCATCTCAGGGGAGGAAAATGCCTTTCCATGAGATTTCATGAAATTATAAATGAGATTTTGCAGCAATGCTCTGCTGATGTAACCTTACCAGAATGCAATGCTTGGGCACAGATTACATCATTTGTGCCAGAAGTGGACCAGGTAGTAGAAAAAAAAAGAAATTGTAAGTAAATTGAAAATATGTTTGTTTAACTAATGAATTTAAGAGGATTTCATATGAGCATGCAGAGCTTCATGCTGATGTGATTTTTTGTGAAAGAGGGTAAAGGTCCACTTTAATATCTTTCATATGTAATTTTATAAACTCGAAAAAGTGATTATTTACAGATATTGAGGGTCATTTCACTAAAATGTAGAAGTTATTATAACTGGATTTGGCATTTTATCTCATTATAATTCTCTCTACAAAAAGGTCGGTTCACAAACATAAATGTTGCTAAGGTGTGCAGTCATTCATTTCAGTAGCTAATCATTAAAGGTTTATTTCTTGCAAATCATTACGTTATCTTGTAAATTGTTATTTTATTACCCGCTCAAATGGCTCCCTTTCTGCTCCTCTCAAAAGACACCTATTGAAACTTACACATACAGTTTATCCCACCTGAAACTAACATCATTATTTAGGAATTATAACTCTGCTGATAATCTTTGTGAATTGACATTTACACTCAAATTACTGCAAAAATTGATACAATAATTTGTGTGTAGTAGATTTGTCGGAACTGTGTGAAGCCTTTACAAAATAATAAAAGAAACATAATTAAAGTGAGCAAATAATGCACTGTAATGAAAATCCTGCATGTTTATACTTTTATGAATTGTCTGTAATATTTTTTTATGTGATCATAGTGAAAGGTCCTCTTGCACATATCTAAGCATTCAAAATTGGCTTGAACTTCACTGGGAATCTTGTAGAATTAAAAAATAAGGCCACATAGGCAGTTCTATATTCTGGTAGGCATCAGTGCATTAAATGGTAATATTGTGGGTGAAGGCTAGTAAATTGAATGTACACTATATTGTCAAAAGTATTAGGATGCCTGCCTTTACACGCACATGAACTTTAATGGCATCCCAGTCTTAGTCCATAGGGTTCAATATTGAGTTGGCCCACCCTTTGCAGCTATAACAGCTTCATCTCTTCTGTGAAGGAGTCCACAAGGTTTAGGAGTGTGTCCAGGGCCGGCCTTAGGGGTGTGCGAGCAGTGCAGCCGCACAGGGCGCCATGGCAACAAGGGCGCCGTGCGGCCGACACAGCTTGTCCTGGGGGCGGCTTCTCTCCCCCTCACCGCTGGGCGCTGGCCATCCGATATGACAGCGCTCCCTCGTTACCAGCATTGTAGAGCAGCAAATAACTGGTCACGTAAAATGTATCTATGGGAGTAGCAAGGAAATATCACAGAACACCTGAATCCAATGATTTGGAGGGATGTCCCAATACTTTTGGTAATATAGTGTATCTAATGTGGATTAAAGCCCATTTCCACCTATGTAAGTGGTTAGCATTTATTGCGGTAATGTAGTGGAGCAGTGTTGATGTATATGTGTGTACATTTTCATGACTCACATTGCTGGCTTTTTAAAAAAAACATGTATGGACTTTTTAGTAGGCCTGAGTCTGACAAATTAAAAATTCCCTCCGTCGGAAACTGTGACACTGGGGTCAGATTGTAAAGCAGCTGACCCATGCCCTGTGGGTCATTGTAACAAGATCACAGCACACCAGCTCTGCCTTTGCAGGTCACAATACACTGTCTGGGGGGTAGGGTGGGTGGCGTATGAATAGAAATGAATGGAAGGAGAGAGCTCAGAGAGAGAGAGAGAGTGTTAATTTACACAGACTGCTTGCAGAGCACAGAGGCCGACATTTCAAATTGAGCCATGAGGAGATAAGAGGACAGCTAATGAAAAAAGTTTCTGTGTTCATATAGTACAGCATGTGCTTCATTGCTGGCATATGTTTTTTTTTTAAATACCTCTGCGAAGGTGGAAATGGGCTTTAAGGCACTCTCACTCTCTTCCTTTGACTATTAAGATGACATTGACACACACAAGACCCACCCAAATAACCCAGAAGTCAGCGCCAGTGCTAAAAAAAACGTTTCTGCTTCTACCGTGCCCTGGAGCCCTGAAGAAGGAAGTATCTTGATCCCCAAAATGTGTTGCCTGCAATTTTGTTGTTGTTGTTGCCATCAGTGTTAGCGTAAATTGAGTCTAACTATGAAGTTGTATGACTCTTTGTACAAGGCTCTCCTAAATCCCTGCACACTGCTATTTATTTGCTGATGAACCTGCAGATTTGAACACCTGAAAACGGGTTCAAGCCATCTAACTGCATCCACCCCACACACCAGAGAAAATTACATTTGAAAATGGTTTATATAACTGGTCAGGCATTCAGGTGTATTAGACTAAGTATATTGGACTAAGATTACATTTCAAATGTATTCTTTTCATTTAAATCCTTTTTAAAGTGACACAAAACTTAGAAGTCAAATCTTACAAATGCATTCAAGCACCTTAACTATTGATAAAAATTTATCTTATTTGTGTATCACTCGGCTTTACATCCGGAAATCATCTCTGAATTTGTGCTGACACTGTCCTTCCTTCTGGAGGGTGGCTACTTTTGTTCTGCTTCGTCCCTTTGTGTGCTGTAACGTAGTCACCGGTCCAAGCTCGCTTCCGCGATGGACTACAATCTCAATACATATTATTAACTAAACATGAGATTGTAATCCATCATGGGAGCGACCTTGGAGTGGTGAGTCGTGACTATTTACAACACACACAGGGACCATGGGGAAGACAAGTAGCCACCCTCCAGAAGGAAGGACAGTGACAGCACCAATCCAGAGATGATTTGAGGATTTGCAGCCGAGTGATACACAAATAAGATACATTTTTGTCAATAGTTAAGGTACTTGAATGCATATTTAAGGTTTAACTCCTGAGTTTAGTGTCACTTTAATATTATAAGAATAAAACACTAGACAGGTTTAAATATTTTTCTAGCTACTGTATTATAGGCATGCAGTTAATATATTTTCTGCACCCATTTGTTTCTATTTAGAACCAACAAAAATAGAGCTAACTCCAAAAAGAACAGAACTGACGGTCGGGGAGAGTGTTGTGCTCAGCTGCAAGGCCATTCATGATCCTCTACTAGATGTATCCTTCTTCTGGACCTTAAATGAGCAACCTGTGGACTTTGACAAAGATGATGGACATTTTGAAAATATTAGAGCTGTAAGTGGAGATTGTTGCTTTTGATATTTTATTATGTTGATTATTATTTTATTTTGGCCTGTCTTACCATCCTGCTTGTCCTGGTGTTGAACCTCTGGAAAGTGACACTAAACTCAGATAAGATACATTTTTGTCAATAGTTAAGGTACTTGAATGCATATTTAAGGTTTAACTCCTGAGTTTAGTGTCACTTTAATATTATAAGAATAAAACACTAGACAGGTTTAAATATTTTTCTAGCTACTGTATTATAGGCATGCAGTTAATATATTTTCTGCACCCATTTGTTTCTATTTAGAACCAACAAAAATAGAGCTAACTCCAAAAAGAACAGAACTGACGGTCGGGGAGAGTGTTGTGCTCAGCTGCAAGGCCATTCATGATCCTCTACTAGATGTATCCTTCTTCTGGACCTTAAATGAGCAACCTGTGGACTTTGACAAAGATGATGGACATTTTGAAAATATTAGAGCTGTAAGTGGAGATTGTTGCTTTTGATATTTTATTATGTTGATTATTATTTTATTTTGGCCTGTCTTACCATCCTGCTTGTCCTGGTGTTGAACCTCTGGAAAGTGACACTAAACTCAGAAGTTAAACCTTAAAAATGTATTAAAGTACATTAACTATTAGCAAAAATATACCTTATTTGTGTATCACTCGGCTGTGGATCCTCAAATCAATCCTCAAAGTGGTGACTACTTTACAACACACACAGGGACCATGGGGAACAAAAGTAGCCACCTTCCAGAAGGAAGGACAGTGTCACCACCAATTCAGAGATGATTTGATGATCTACAGCTGAGTGAGACACAAATAAATTACATTTTTGTTAATGATTCAGTTACTTGAATGCATTTGTAAGATTCCTGAGTTTAGTGCCATATGAAGTTTACACGTTTTGCTAAACATTGGTTCTGTCCAGATAAAGCTGGTAGATGTTTAAATGGTGTTGGTAGATAATCTCTTTAAATTAGTAAATTCAATTAGTGAGGGACAAATAAAGAGAATGTTGAAAATTTGAAGAAGCATGCACACATCTTAATAAGTAATGATGTTTCTTTTCAAACGTATATATCCAACTGATATTATAACTGGCTTTGACTAAGAACACACAAAGCACTCTGCTGAATCTCAAAGAGTTGACTCTGTTTGAATTGGATGTTGTGATGGTACGGTACTGAAAATACTTTACCATTTCAATGTAGACTGATAAAATATGAAATAAAGTATTTTTCTGCAATATATTTGTTTGGAGAAAAAAAAGCCAACACATTTTTCTTAATTTATCAGTCTATTCAGCAAGACATATAAATTGTTTGTTCTTCTTCTATATAGATTTTTTTGTTAAGTCTCTTTTCAAAAAGTCATCTAAATTATATATCTCTAGACTTGCAGTTTTACTTTATTGGCTTTCTTTTCAAGTATCTAAATGTATGCTATTATAAACTTTTTGCTGGTCTGTTTCTCAGCCAGCGGGGAGCTAAACAACTGTTGTGGGTGCTCTTTTTAAATCTCTGCATTTTTTATTTGCTAAAAGTGTAAAAAAAAAAAAAGAAACAGATAGAGTAGCAAAATTATGTTGAACCATGAATTAAGAAAAAAACTCCTCATTTTTTCTTTAATGGTTTACTTACAATGTTTTATTTATAATATACATAACAAATAACTGTTTCTTTCTGAATTTAAAGGAAACTTGTCATGATGTTATACTGCCAAAACTGAGAGTAGAAATAAAATGCAGACACCTAGATGCACAAAACTGAATATTTCTTCTTTCAGCTTTTTGGGGCTAACGTATTATGTGCTCATTTATGAGAAAGTCACTGACCCCACTCTGACCCCTCTCATTTCTGATTCTTTTGATCTATGGGGATAGGGGGAGCTTGAGTATAGACTCATGACTTTTTGCATTAACCATACTTCTCACATTTTTTTATTAAACTAACCTCTTTTTTAGATATTTGTTAAAAATTACATATGCAAATCACACAATTTATGTTTTAACATTTTGAGAGGGGTCCCAGTTTTTAAAGACATATGGCCATGCAGAGGGGGAGCCTACTCTACTTGCTTGTGGTCTTTCAGCCTTGGAGGCTATGTGGCCATGTTCCCAATAGGTTATTACTTGCCTTTGTGTAAGAATTCTTGCTAAACATGCTTACTTAGAGAAAATCGGATAAAGCAACATGTCCAGAGAGTAGTGATCGATGGCTCATTCTCTAAATGGACTAAGATGTACCCCAGGGCTCTGCCTCGGGGCCAGTTCTGCTCAACTTGTTTATTAATGATATTGAGGTTGGAATAAGGAGTTTAATTTCAGTGTTTGCTGACAATGGCAAATTATGCAGGGAAATATATTTGACACAATATGTGTCATCATTACAGGAAGACCTAGATAAAATAGGGGGATGGATGACTACATGGCAGATGAGGTTCATATATATGTAATTGGTAGCTAAAAATCTTAATTTTGTTAGTAAGTTGATCCAGGGATTGATCGTATACCTGGTATGAGTAGCAGAGCTGTTTTATCACAGCTACAAATCAGGCAGGCCCAAAACTGGAAAAAATAAGCCCACAGTTAACATTGCAAGGTGGAAAAGGGATCCAAGGAGCCAAAAGATTAAATGGTCAACAAGTACACTATATAGTGGTCCCTTATGTGATTGGGTTGCTGTGGGCTGGTAAGGATGGTTACATGCGTGGTCTGTAGGGAGGAGCGTAGCAAGTTCAGTTGGAGATCTGCAGATGCCAGAAGAACTTCCCACTTGACCTGTGCTCTGGAAAAAGCAGAAGTGATTGTACAGACCTCTTAGCAGCTGGTGAGTGGTTTGGGGTCTTTAAAGGTGACCAAATTGGTGGTGATAAAAAGAGGCTGGACATCCATCTACAGTACCGCATCCTCTGTTCAATGTGGTCAACTGGTAGTGACCAGGGTTTTATGGATCCGGATGTGTCTACAGTTAGTTTGAAGATTGTCCCTGAAGTGGTGTGATGCAAAATTGTTCGTAGGAACGGAACTCGGTCGTTAAGTGAGGAATACCTGTACTTGTATTTAAGGTTGGGAGACCTGGAGAGCTCCACCCAGGAGTCAGTGTGGTGGTCAGTGCAGCAGATTTGTGAAGCCTATGGTGAGGATTGGCACGTTATTGAGGTTGTCTGGGGGAACCAAACAGTGGCCCTGAAGATTGGGGCCGGAGCAGCAGTGCTGCAAGAGAGCACTATTAAACGACTGGGATACCGTGAGTGTATGGAAACATTCGGAGATTGGTGAGCCAATATATATATTCTGCTGAAGACAAGCTATTGTATGTTGAGCTTCCTTGAGTATCTGCTGTTGAAAGACCAATAAAGACTTTTCGTTAATGGAACGCTGTGCGAGTGCTCTGTGAGCTCCTATATATATATATA